GATTTGTAGGCAATGTGTCATTGTTCAGTTGCCGTGTCAGAGTTTGAATTGACTTTGAAAGTTTGAATCCTTTCATTAAGTTGTCTGTCAGCTCCTGCTGACAGGCAGAGGAACAGAAGCCACGGTCAGCAGGCTGTTCCCCTGGATTCTCATGCTAGGTAACAAACAGCAAATCAAATGTGTGTGTACTCAGCCTTCTGGAAAAGTATTTACTGTTTGCTAGAGCTTAATAGAAGAAATGTAGACCAATTGCAACAAACAGCATACTATGAAGAGGATAAAAAGAGTAACACAGATACTTCCCAGGCAATAGTAATGAAAAAAAAATTATTGAAACCCACAAAGAGAAAAACAAACAGTTTTAAAATTCAGGCATAGTGGAAAATCTTGGTTAAAGAAAACTGAATGTGTGTGTCAAATGTACCCTCCCAGCCTCTTCCACCCAACTACTTCATCACTGCTCCCTCTGAAGGATCTACAATGTTTGTCTCTCAATCTGTTGGCCACCCAGGACCCCTGACCTGTTTGTGCTTGTGGGACTTGGTCTGTGCTTTGGAACATCTCTAACTCTTACAAGGAAATAATGTTTTTCTGCAATGGCCAGCCACATTTCTGAGCCTCAGCATAAAAATTGACATTTCAGCCTAAAAGACTTCAGGATGTTTTCTGTGGTGCTATCTGAAGGGGACAAAAAAGTCAGTGTGTTATTTTCATTATTAGTTTCCTAACAGAAAAGTAATATAAACCAGCTTCTTTTCCAGCTTCATTACCTACAGGCTCTACAGGAGATGCCTGCAGATTGTTGTAGGGAGAAGGGAACTTTGTGCATTGAAAGGGAAAATCAAAATGCTGAGGCCCCCATCCACACTCATGTGGAATAATATATATATGGATTCAGACATCATTTCCCTCTATCCTATTTCCATGGCAAGCCATCTTTCATCAGTTCTTAGTCCTACAGAGGAATGATTTGAGTATAGAGTAGGATGAAACTTTGTCTAAATGTTTGATCAGCATAACAGCCTGATCTTTAAACTGTTTTGCATCATCTGCTTTTAACTAATACATATTTAAAGAAAGCTGACAGCAACACTGAATATTTAGATGATACTACAAACTTAGAAATTCTTATAGTAAGTTCACCCACAAGCACTGATACACATTTAATATGTTTGGTAAAAGGCAAATTTATGTATGGAAATAAGTATATTTGAGCAACCTGGTCTAGTGGAAGGTGTCCTTGCTCATGCAGGGGAGTTGGAACTAGATGAGCTTTAAGGTCCCTTCCAAACCAAACTATTCTGTGATTCTATGAAATCCAGCAGTAAACCAGTATTGCTTTGCATTTCTTCACTCTGGAGATGTGCCTGCACCTTACAGCAATCAAAGGTCAGTTACATCTGAGCTAAAGGCACCATTGTTTTATCACAGGGATTCAAAAAGTGTCCAGCCATCAAAGTTCTGCTGTTTCCCTAGTCCATGCCACCTCATCTGGCTTGGGGAGACAGACTATCCAGTGAATTTTGTGATCACTGTGGTTGTTACCATGAAGTATTAGATTGCTGGTTGGAGTTCTTCCACTATCAGCAGGTGCCGCTTTACCTTGTAAAGAGCACAGATAACGAGCACTCAAAAAACCAAAGGAAAATCTCTGACAGAAAAATATTTATAATACCCAGCTCAGTGGTACTACCCTGATGGGGGAGCAGCCGTATGGGCACATGTGAAGCAGGTTGTTGCATGAAAATTTTATTCAACATACCAGGGAGTTCTCCACTGGAATGGACAATGAGATATTCAGTCTGGTGAGAGAGATTAGAAGCTTGCTGGAATTAAAGGTGACACAAAGCACCATCTGAAGCAATTAATTTTAAATATCATATCTAGTTATCTTTGAGGAAGAAGTTTGTACAGGTTCAGGAGAAAATCTGAGCATTTCTTAATTACAGTACATGCAGTTAAGCACATTTTAACTCCTCTAAAGCGATAAGCAAAGTCGTCAAATCTTTATGAAGTTAGCAAAGTTATTTTGTGTACCTCTGCACTGTTTGGGTACAGTACAGTCTGTGAAGTCAAATTTACAGTGTTCTGCTCTTTGTGTGATGGAACCCCCTAAAGCTTTTTTTTATCAGTGTATTTCTGTGCCATACTTCATTGGAGAGAAGAGAAAGTACAGCTGGTGCCTTCCTGTTCTTTTATGGTGGAACAATTCATAGGCCTGGATGTGAAAGCATTTAATCCCTAGTAGAAAAGAAAAGAGCAAGCATTACAGGGGATGTTACAAAATCTCACTATTTTCCCTTAAAAATACAGTCTGAAAACCATAAATATACGTACCTGAGAATATCTCTCTTTGAGCTGCAAAGAAGATGCAAAATTTGAACATAAGAATTAAATCCAGCTAGCTAAAATTAGAGCTAAATAACTTTTTTCTACTTTTTTTTTAGGATGTTCAAAAGACTGCTGCTAAAACACCAAACTCTGAGTTTCTTTTTTTAAATAATTGTTAAAATCACCCACAGTTCTCATCATTTTAAATACTGAATGGCTCTGCCAGTGTTCTCTGTTTCATGAACACCCTGTATTTGATAATATTCAGCAGTGACTTAGGTAGCATTTCAGTAGTTTGTCATCTAATAAGATTATAATCTTGCCCAAGGAAGAATTTGATAAACTTTACTTTTATTTAAAGGTGTAATCTAAAGTTATATTAGCGAGTCCAGTAGAACAAATTTCAAAACTTGAATCAAGGCAAAGCATTAATAAGGTCTTTTTGTTTTTTTAATGAGGTCTAAAAAATATGAAATCAAACTTGTTATTGTAGTTTCCAGCAGACCTTTACAACCTGGTTTGGATAGAAAAGCAGGCAGGGAGATATTCTATATTCAGCTTTCAGCCTGTTTGTAAGCTTTGTCTAGCTTCCAGAGTGTCCATGGACAACAGGATTTTCAGAAGTGGTCTGTTGCTTCAGTGTGTATAACTGATGTTTGTTTGGTTCAGCTGCTCCAAAGGAAAATACAAAAAAAGATATAATCCAAATCACACTTACAAACTTGATAGAAGATCACTAAAACATAGATAAAATTCTTTTGCAGAAATTGCCCAGTAGGAATCAGCAAAAGTAAGAAATACTTATAGCAGTTTAAGGATGTGCAATTAGAACACCAAAATTTTATGTGAATTTGGGTTGAATTCATCAAGTTGCTTCCTTGGGGGAGACAAGTTTGACTAGAGATTCCTAAGTTTGCAGGGGCACTGGGGAAGCAATGTCCCAGCAGGGGCAAAGGGTACATCATTCCCCCCAACTGTGGGAAATTATTTTCCTCCCCTGCCTCAGGAGATTTAAACCTGCATTTCCTTTGTGGTACATGTGCATTATCTGTGGTTAATCATATTTTCAGGAAACAGTTGTTAGTATTCATCTGAATCATGGCTTTCTTAACTCTGGAGTGAATGTCACAGCCCCTACAAAGTGTCAGTTTCACCCTCTCCTTTCCTTGCTTGAAAATTGAAAAGAAAATAAGGAAAGAATAAAAGGAAATACAACCATATTCTTTTCTTTGTAAAGGTTTTTACTTAAGGGTAGATGAACTGATTTATTTTAACATAGCAATTAATAGGCAAAAATCCTGTATTTGCTTATGAAATGTTGAATTTGGATCTTGGAACAGAACAGCAATAAAGTGTAAGTTGTCAGGAATCCTGTTCGCAAGCCACTTTATTTTGGTAGCTGTGATGATATTTCCTATCCTTGAGGTTTGTTTTGTATAGCACACTATCCAACTAGAATTTCCTAAGCCTTCAGTGAAGACTACTCATCCTTAAGGTATTTTCCACTGAACAAAATTTAAATATATGTTTTAACCAAACCAAAGTAAACACCACTGAATTAAAGAAATTCTTTCTGCCAGCTGGAAATATGATGCAAAGTTTTCATAATTTTTTCCCCCCTTTAAACAGTTTTTACTCTCCCTACACTCTTAAGTTGCATTAACAGAGCAGGTATTTGATCAAACTGCACTATGGACAGAGTTCCATTGTTCTTTGCTTTTTTTCCCTGTCTGTAACCAGCAAATCCCACCATTCAATCTGTTGTGCTAAGTTGTTTATGTCTCATGTTGGCATCATGACAATTAAACACATCACAGGCATGTACAAGCCAGAGCTTTGGAGTCCTGGAACAATAGTGGTCTTCTGTCTGCCAAAGGCATCTTGCTCCCTGGAAACCTCACTTGCCAAGCTGTGATTTCAAGAGTGATTTAGTTTCTGAACTCTTAAAAGAGAAGAGTTGATCTGTTCACTGAAGAAAATGGCCCTGAAATACATTTCTGTTTAATGATGAATTATTTGTCTTGTGTTTCAGTGTTATTTTGCTTTGTGTGTCAGGTTACTGCAGCCCAGCATATAGGTATATTGGATATGTCAGAGAAAGAGCCCAGGAAGAAAATGTGAATAGAAATGCCAGTGACATGTAGCTGTTTGATGATTGTGGAAGAAGGGCTGTGTGGCTATGGTACCTATCTAGAGCCTAGGAAATCCAAGTTCCCTTGTTGTTCTTCAACTGACTTGTTACATATGACATAGTTCTGTCTTTTAAGTTTTCCACTTGAGCAAAATTTCAATGTCAGTGAGCCTAAGTTAGTGTGAAATCTGTCTAATTTCTCACTGAAGATAGTAGAAAATAGACAATTACAATTATTTTAGTATCACAAAATCAGCTTAAACTCTGCAGACTATAAGATATCTGAAAACTACTACTCCAGTGTATTACAACTTCTGTCCATGTGAAGGCATAGCTCAGGGGGGTTGTTCTTTGCTGATCTGTAGATGAAGTTACAGCTTGGATGCATTAAGGTGTGCATGGGAGAGAGAAAGTGTGCAATGTGTGTGTGTTTGTTGAGTGTGCGACACAGAGAAGACAAGGAGCAAGATGAGAGTGTGAGATCATTTTGATAGAATGTAGTTTCTTCCTAACCCTTTTGTTTTGCTTTATTTTACAGTTTGCTCAGCTGGTGTCTGTCTACAAAACTTTGGGTCCAGAGAAGTTCCCTTTAATTGAGCAAACATTCTATCCAAATCACAAGGAAATGGTACGTGCAAAAAACAATTCTAAATTTACTGTCTCTGTAAAACAGGAACTGTAAACACACATTTTATTTCCCATATTTACTGCCTGTTTTAAAAGTAATTTTGGAAGCTTTCAGAGGGATGATATTGGGTGACCACTTGAAAGCTCTGGGATGGTTAACTGAAGATTTTCAGATGTGAAGGTAGTAATTTTTCAGCTAACCAGCTTCAGATCTTGGAGAGATTAAATGCTTATAAAGACACAGCACAGCTATAAAGCACATGAGTTACTTTTATGGTTTGTTTTCAACATAGGTCTTTATGATATGTTCCAAGTGCTTATTATCTTTGTAGATGATGCACAAGGCTGTGTGCCTGTCAGTGTACAGCTTTGGACTCATCTAAAATCAGGGTATTTCTGAGGTGTGGTCTTCATGTACCTGAGCTGACGTTGATTCCCAGTCCTTTATAGACATCAATGCATTCCTAACGTGACAGTCATGGCCTTTATTTGTGACCTGTTTTATGCTGCAGCCTTTCTTTTTTTTTTTTTTTCTTACTGTTTATAAACATGAAGTATTTCCTGAGTGTATTTCTTTAGAGGAACTGCTTTCAGCTTGGAGGGGAGCTGTTTGCTGGCTGAATAGACTAGCAGAGGAGCATCAGTTCTTTCTAGAATTTAATCCATTCAGCATGTCACACAGCGGTATGTCACGTACCATTGCTAGCTGCTTGTGTAAGGTCCCCACGCTGTACTAGCCCTTTGTTATCATAGGTGGCATCTAAGAGAAGCCTCAGTGACAGCAGTTGACTAAGATGTCTTCTGAAGTTGTCTTTCTGCCACGTCTCTCTCATCTTTTGGTGATAAACACAGGGTGGTGCAGTTCTGCTGGATGTTTGGACGTGTTGCAAGAGTGGCAGGATGGCTGTTCATACTGCTTTCCTGGTTCTCTCTGGCTTCCTTGGAATACTGACTCACAGATTATTCCACTCCTTTTGTGGCACATGACACGTCTGAAAAGAGCTTTCACTACAGTTGTGTACTTAGTGAATTGCTACACAGAAGTTTTGTAGTGCCAAAGAAGGTTGGTTCTGATCTGGAGAGGCAGATCTAAGTATTGTCCCACACAGTTCTTCTCAGAATGGTAGGGGGTGATGATTGATTTGTCAGGAAAGTATACAACTTCATAAAATTTTTTTCCTCATGCAAAGGAAGGATTTGTGCCTTGGGGTTCATTCGTAACAGCGGAGAAGCAGAACCACATCTCAAGTTTTACAATATGCTTTTTTAAAATGGTCATGAATTTAAAATCTCTCTTTTCTAGAGAATGGCCAAGATGAAAGCTGGTTTATGATTTCCTGCACACAATTTATTGTTCCTTCTTCATTATTTTATCAGTCATTATTCAGGGTCCCCAGGGAAGTGATCATGGCCCCAAACCTGCCAGAGCTCAAGGAGCATCTGGATGATGCTCTTCACCATATGGTCTAGAGTTAGGTAGTCCTGCAAGGAGCAGGGATCTGGGCTGCACGGTCCTTATGGATCCCTTCCAGCTTGAGATACTCTGTGCTTCTGTGGTGTTGTTAAAAAGCAGGCCTTTTTAATGCATTGCTAAATTGCAGTATTTAGAAACAAAGAAAATATCCTTTGATTTTGGGACCAGAATTAATGTGTTTGCTTTTAATCTCTACATAGTAAGGCCCTGTAGCGGGTCTGCCAGTTCAGCTGCGAGCTGCTGTCCTGAACAAGTGATTCAATTCACATTCAGTTACAGAACACAAACAAGAAACCACTTATAATGCATATTTTGCCTCAGAGTATAACAAGTATCTCAGTGGTTTCCCCCCCCCCTTTCATTCCTCATCATTCCTCATTAATGCTGTAATAACTGATTGTACTAAATGAAGCTCATTGCCTTGTTTTTCTTTCTGAAGAAATTATCTGCAACTTTGCAGCTTAAAGAGTAATCAGGCAGCATGGTACAAGTTACATCTTATTCAGATTTCTAGGATGGGTTATAAAATGGTTGGAATAGCAAGGTCTTCTAGTTGAGGTTTTGAAATCATATTGTGCTGGTTAAATTTTGTTGTTTTATAAACAGTTTATTAATAGGTGGCCTGATTTACACTTACTTTTACAGAATTTGGTATTTACAGTTTAAAATAATTTTTGGTAGTTCCATTTTTGTTCCCTCCCTATTCTCCACATCATAACTTGGAGCTCTCTCCCTCCCTCCCCAGTGCAATCCAGTTGGGGGGTGGTGGAGGGGGAGCAAGAGAATCTCCAAATCCTTGTGGATTGTGAGTTCAGCCCAGCATGCCAGAGGGGCTGTTGTGCTTGTTTCTTCTGCTTCTTTCATGCTATAAGGATTACTTGTGCTGAGTCCTTAGCCAGTAATAAAAGGTAAATAAACAAAGATGCCATTCTTTTGTGTAAAAATGGAGCTGCTTTAATGAAACACTTTTTGAAACAGAAACATTCATCCCAGACTCATTAGAACTATACAAAAAGCTGTAAGGCTTTTTGAACTCATTGCTAGTTGAGTCATATCTACAGCCTTTCCCTCAGTAATTAGTTCCCTTTATTTCACTACATTCCCACCTCCTATGTTCTCTGTCATGAAAAAAAACAACAAACCCTTGCTTTTTCAACACAATTGTTGGACAATTTAATTAAAACTTAACTGGAACATTGAGAAAAAGTCAGCAATATTGAAGGTGGATATTTTCCACTGTTCACCTGTACAGTCTCCCTTCTCACTCTTTTCCCTACTCATATCATAAATCATATAATTTTCAAATTAAAATCAAGTGCTGTGCCAGGCTATACTTCAGCTCTAACCTTTCTTATGGTACATACAGAATTTTGAGGAGTAAAAATGAAATGCTGTAGAAATACTCTGCTGTTCATAATATATCGATGCCACTACAGTAAAAATCTTGATAGGAAAAGAACATGGAATCTTGCATTATAGTGAATCATTTTAATAATCTTGATCAGTGCTGAATCTCAGGGAAAATAGAAACTTATTCTGAGAGGGTTTTTTGTAAGGCTCTTCTTTGCTGTATTTATTGATATGAGGAAAAAAATCTCTCTTTCTTCCATTTATTATGGGAATTTGTCCAAATTTATGCTCAGATAGAAATCAAACTGGGTGGCCATTCACTTTGAAACACCTCATGTGTGATATTTCATGGCAGGTCAAATATAAAAGGTTTTTAAAGTAATTATGGCATACAATTCATCTAAGAGTTGGCTCATAGATACTGAAGAGAACATTTCTTTTCACAAGGCACATAAGGAAGGCAATCTGAGGTGGTTTAGTTGAGTTTAAGGTCTGCTTACTATAAAACTGAAATAGAAACAGAACAATGTTGAGTTAAAAAGCAGAAACAACTGCTACACTGTCCATGCACTGAATATTAATTAGCCATGTGCTTGATTCAGGCTTGGTATGGTTATTAAGCTCTTGCAGGCTTGTCCAGGAGTTGTTTTGGTTTGACATGAGGAAATAAGGCCTGGTTTTTAAGTCTTTCTGTAAATTAGTAATGATAAGGCATAGCCCTGGCAGTAAGTAGCACTGTCAATATTGTCTCTGCAATATCAATTCCTTTTTGGAAGAAATGTAGCATTTTAATTGCATTTTTAAGTATTCATAAGTCATCTATGGTCCAAACTAGTGTTAGGTAATTCTTTTTGTCTTTAGCAAAACAGAAAATGAGTGGGACTTTACATGGGGCAGTACAAACCTATGTTGTGTTAATTTAGGACTGTAAATTAAACCAGCAAAACTGATTTACAGTAAATAAAAAGTGCAGTATTGACTATTAAGGGACATCTATTCCTCAAAGGAACAATGGCCTGCCTTCCTGTTGGCCTTCACCAGTTGCACTTCATTGGACTTGCATAAGTTTAGCCACCAAAAAAAAAGGGAAAGTACTCTGTTGTCTGTCCTTCAGATATGGATTCATGCCATTGTCAAAATAAACATTAGAAACACAAACAAAAAGTGTCACAAAAATAATTTATACAGGGGTTTTTGCAAGCATATGTGATCTGTCCAGTTCAATGTATCTGAGGGTGTGACAAGATACATGGGACGTGCTGAATTTTATGGCCAAGCTACTACTTTGTTGAATAGAATTAGAGGTGCCTGTACTTTTAAAGATGTGCCTGCCTTCTTTGCCAGAGTAGGTCCTGATGGTTTAATGAGGACTTTGTAGCAAACAGTCAAAAGGGACTGTTTGGAAGGCTGGACTCTTGAACCCATAGATGATAACATCTCTGGTTCCTGATGAGCCCATGGCTGCGAATGCAGGAATGAGCAAAGTGTGTGTGTCAGACCTTTTAGTAGTCCTGAGCTAACCAAATGAGGACAGAACTGTTTAAATCTCTGCACGTTGTTCTAAATTCTCATATGGGGAATACACAAGAGTGATTTCTAGCCAAATTTGGAAAGAAGTGAAAGAAACCCAATGGAGAAAACTGGAGTAAAACATGCCAGAAAAGGCAGCTCTAACAGCTTCATGTCCCGTGTGACAGTTCCCATCCAGTTCCTAGGACTCAGACAGCTGGACAACTGTCTGAACTTTGGCATTTACTGAAATAATTTTTTTTTATTTTTTTTTTCCCCAACATGGAACGAGTTACTTTTGTAAACTTGAATATGTGTGAGATTAGTTCCTAACCACAATAATCAATTTGTAAAAGTTAAGATGTTAAAAGCTAAAAGGCAAACTACATTGTAACACTTCTCTAGTGTAAATTCATGAGTTGGCAAATTCATTAAGACCAAGTATGATGGGTATTCATGAGTGAAAAAAATCATTAATGTGAATTTAAACTATTACATTTGGTCAAATATTTGAGAGCTATTCAGAATAAATTTGCATGAGGTTCCAAAGCCAAGGCTTTGAACAGTGCCAAAATGCAACGACCCAGTGACATATTTTGAGGGTTGTTATCAAGTCCCACAGCTGCTGTGGTGATAGATTTGGTGTCTGTAAATGTAAGGAGGTTTAGCTTTTTAGTGTCGTTATTGGTGTTGGTCCCATAAAAAGCTGAAGCGTCGGAACATCTGGCTTTTCCTTCAACAAGGCATAGCTAGTCCATAGGAATATTGAACTGGGTAAGAGGATTTTGATTATCAAGGCTGGTTTTTAACTTAGTTATCCATGAAAGTTACAACTCTGTAACTAACAAAAACTATGAGATAAGTAACATACAGAAATGGAGCACAGATTGTTTAATCACTGAAGTGTTCAACTTCTCTCAACAGATAAGGAAAAACAGGGATTTTTTTTTAATTATTATTATTTTTTATAACACATTGTTATAATAGTTTACATATACACTGTACAATAATTCTTGTGTATCAGAAGACTTCCATACAGAAAAAAAATAGTTCTATAAAACATTCTGTAGTTCATGAGAAAGATGGAATAAACCATCTTGGAATAAACCACGGGCTTCTCTCAATCTGTAGGTTAACAGAAGCAGGGGGCAAAACTCTGGCAATTCTTTTGTTCTTGTACATTCATATTGGAAAAAGGGAAACTTGTTATGCCTTGGAGGACACGGAGGAGCATTCTCAGCCTGAGCCTCTCTGGTCAAAGCATAACTTTACAAAAGGGGCCACCTCCAGGAGGTTTGTTCCTCGTCTTGCGCGAGTGCCAATTCCACAGACTCGGACTTTAGCCGTACAGGACAATTTGGTTTTGTTTTAAGCGACAGATACATTAGACGGTGGCAGTTCAAAGCTGTGAGTGTGCAGTGTTGGATGGCATTGGACTCCCAGGCTTGTTGGGAAGTGCCCAGTTTAAGGTTCGCTGATGTCAATGAACTCTTTCTCGGGGGGAGGCCCACCTCGGTACCAGCTGCACGTGCCGTCGCTTCTCTTGATGCAGGCGTAGTGCTTGGCCTGGTGCCCGTACAGCTTCCGCTCGATCAGCCAGTCTGTCCAGAGGCACTCGTTGGGTGCCGTGATCGAACAGGGCACCATGTAGCAGGTAGTAATCTACATGGGAAACAGGGCAGTCGTTCAGCATATTGCACAGAATCACAGAATCCTAGGGGTTGGAAGGGACCTGGAAAGATCATCCAGTCCAACCCCCC